TTTTCCTTGTACGATGTGAGGGTCTAAGGACAGAGGGTGTCGTATTGTCATACTGATATTCTGTACACACTGTGAAGACCACTGAGACAAATGTAACATTTGTGATATTGGGCTATATAAATAAACATTGATTGATTCATTGATTGATTGAATTACATTTTTTATAAGGCTTGGTCAAATAACTTGTAAATCAAATGCAAAAGTTAGCTGCTACAGCTAATGTAAGGTTGGGTTGGTAGAGATGCTAACGGTGGTAGCTTCCTGATTAGCTTGCTCGTCAAAATGCTGAACATTTTCATCCTTTGTGTTTGACAAAAAATGTGTCAAATTAATTGCACACTTCTTAAGAGAGAATGCTCACCCACATATTTTTCTTGGATTGCTTTTTGTTTGCCGCTTTTCAGGACAATGGACAGTGATTGTCGCAGGCCTGACTAAGTCTTTTATAGGCAGTTACGTAGCTGTGTTGATTGGGAACCCTCCCAGCATGCTCTAAGGCAGTAGTTTTAATGACATTTGTATGTGTTTTCCTGCATTGTTAGTTGTGTCATTTTGTTCTACAATGTGTTTATTCTAAGCTAATAAAAGTTGGTTTTAAAAGATTAGCTTCAGGCTTATAATTATCACTGAAAAGGATCTTGAATTTCCATTGAGAACCCAAATCCCATCATGCACCAATATCACATGTAATATCTAATGTAAACAATGAGGAACAAAATGTCAAACTAAATCACCAGTAACAATGCAGAGGCACACATAAAAGAGACTTTCTCAACACACCTACCTTGGTTTCATCCCATTGTCCTTTTTTTCCTCCTTAATACTTTCCGTCGGTTGTTTTGAGAGATGCACGGACGAGATGTATGGATAAAGGAATCCTCATTTGGAAATGCAGTCAACGTGATCAGCTTTCATATGACAGGCTGATTACTGCAAGTCTCCTTGTGTTGCCTTTATTTGATAAAAATAGTTTCAACAAGTCAATCCGCAAACTACTTTGAAAGAGCTGCAGGAGAATAAACAGGATTATTGATAATTTGAAGCATCTGAAGAACAACTTCCCTGTGTTACATGTAAATAATATATCACAGATAAGCCATGATAACACACAAAACCAGGATACTAATGTGCATGTGAATGTACTGACTGCTATCCTTTACGTTGCTAAAATGCCTGAGTACTTAGGTGGCTGCTTCTTATCAAATTGTGTGTCTGTGGTTTTCAGTGCTTGGTCATCTCTTTTCCTATGTGCAATTTCCTCAAAGAATGATCCTAAATCAGTCATTTTATTTCTACCTATTACTACCTTTGCAAATGTCCTACAGTAGTGATTTTCCAACCCTACCCTAAAAGTATCATTTCCACTAGCAGCCACTACAGGCTTCCTTGTCCATACGACAAATAACAGCAAACGTATACGACACAACAAATATAGTAATGCATGTTTGTTCTGATTTCCATAAGGTCAAATATAGGGTAAATCAAAGAAAGTCTGTACCCATAGGAGCATGAAAGATTCCAGCAGATATTGTGACTTTTACTAGTTTAGTGCACAATAGAAGAACATCAACATAGGTTAACTATTCAATGACTATGTCTTACACCCTTGCTCTACCCTCATCCACAGTACACGTTATAATGTGAAGGATTAGGAGAGCAACCCGATAAGACTCACACAAATTGCCACTGATTTGCTGTTGAAATCCTCTGGATGCTTACATGTAAATCTAAATAAAGTACTTGATGTACCATTTTATTTTGTTATTGTCATACAGGTAAATAATCTGTATGACAATCGTACATATCTTTAGAAACAGAAGCAAAGCAGCATACCCCCACTACCTACAGCGGAGGGTGAGCATTTTTCTCAACACCGTTTGGCCACACATACTGTATAGTGATGTGCAGACTGTTTTCACAGTATCAGTTACTTTGAGTTGATTCATGTAAATGTTTCGGACCTTTGAGTTTTGACATAACATGGAGTAAGTTTCTCCTTGACCACTATGGTACTTGCACATTTTGATCGTTAGCACCAGTAGCAGGCTGCTAGCGTTAGCAGTACATTGAGTTCGAAAGGTCAGGATCCATGACCACACTGACAGGCTTACCTCGTTTGTATCAGACACTATAAAGATTTGTTCCTTCACTAACACATACACTGACCCCCAAGAGGCCTCTGCACCGCACCTATTTCCATCAGGTGGTAGAGGAACAGTCTGAACCTGCCTTCCTGCTAATGCCTACCAAAAATGAAACAATTAATCTTGAACCTAAGGCATGTGTTACGAACTGTTAAGTAGGCGGTTGTGAAATATACCATCTAAAATTTCCACCTACCTTAGTCAAAAAGAAAATGCCTTTTAGCTTGTCAGCGGGGTAGATCATTCTGCCACTAGATGGTAACCTTTCAGCTGATGATTCCCCTGAAAGATTTTATATGATGAAAAAATAGTTTCTGTGTGTCGAGATATTTAGAATGTCTACACATCTTAAGCTTCCTTTGCAGATTGAATACCAGATTGTTTTCTCAAAAAGGGTTTGGTTTTAGAAGCAGATGTACTTGCAGGATTCTTGCTATTAACAAATTGTATCTTCATGGTTGATTGAACTTATTGTAAATTGCATTATACAAAAGTGTAAGTAAAATGTGTTCTACTTCAGAGCACAAATAAAATGTTTACAATCAAGACCATTTCTTGAAAAGTTTGCATGTCTACCAGTAGACAGGATGGACGTACAGTTGTCGGTCTGCATCTTACAGTATTGCATCATTAAAAACACCAGAGTAAATGGTGAATTTAAACATCCCAATTGAGTGCAGTGTTTAAGTTTGATATCTATTTCATTTTTGCGTCAGCGGTAGCAGGTTTCCAGTTTGAATTTATGCATTCTATCCTTGCTTCAAAATGGTGGAACAAGCTCCATATTGATATCAGGACAGCAGAAAGTAAGTCTACACATCTTCTATTGTAGACTGAAAACCCACCTGTGTCCACTGCACCTTGGCCATTAAACCTAACATACACAAAAAACAGTATGAGTAAATATTTCAATTTAATTGATAACTCAATTGAAACTAATGCACCCGGCCAGCACTAAGTGATGATATGGCTTACTTTAAGCAAATGTACCTGCAGGGTTCTTGCTGTTCTGAGTTTGTGTTTTCATAATTTATTGCACTTATTGTTAGTAGTTTTGGATAAAAAAACGTCTGCTTAATAAAATGTGATATATAATTAAATACAGTTTATCCTGCTTTATTATTCCACCGCTAAATTAACAGCGTGGACCTATCCAAAGCAGGCCCTACTGCTGATACATACCTGAACATGAATACGCAACTTAGAACAATACATTAATAAAAAGCCAACTAAAAACCATTAAAAACCTCCCCATGGACACTCGGAGAAGGCGGAAGCAGCGACATCAGGGGGCGGCTCTGCGGTAACACCAGCAGGAAACAGACAGGAGTAGAGGAACCTCAGCGTTAGCGTGGACAAAAGCACCGGACCGTTTATAGCGGGGCACTCACGTAGCCTCCATGACAGCTAACAGTTGACAACAGTAAGGTAAACAGGCTTCCTTTATTTAATGTAACGCTACCTTGTAACAAGCAGCTGTAGAGCCTTTAATGTGCTCTCAGAAACAGAGCGTGTTAATAAAGTAAAGACTGTCAAAATAAATAAAACATTCTCACAAAGCAGATGAAATAGCGTTAATATTTGTAGTATTAGCGCAGCCTTACAACGAAAGTGTAATTTTCTTAGTATTCCAATGATGTATTGAAAATATAATGTTCGGGTTAAAAAAACAAAAACTAGCAGCCCAACTGAGTGTTTGAAAAATGTAAAAAGGAATACATTTGGAAAATATGAGCTGTGGATGCTGAAGAGAGCATTTGGAAAACATGAGCTAACTAAATTAAAACGATGCATTTAAAAGTGTATTTCTTTGTATTTGCGCACACAAGAAAATACATGTTCATTCAGTTAGCCATGGAGAGACTTAGCATTGGATGAATCACAACCACCTCATCCAGCGTTAGTGTAGTTTAAAGATGGGAGACAATAGTGCGTTAATATGTGATCATATTCTAATATGAGACTATTGACAGGGGGTCAGGTGGCTTAATCACTTTGAATTTAACGGCTATTAATGTTTTCATGTTTATTTTGTTATTTGTTTGTTGTTGTTTTTTCACCCTACCTCAGCATTGTCTTGTAGATAATAGTATCTGGAATATTAGATCTGCAGTTTGATATCCCCCAGACCCTTAGGAAGGTGCATGTACAAACTTGTCCTAAAGTACGCTCATGTAAATGAGAAATGTTAACATGCATGTGTGATGGAGGCCGTTGACTGGCCTACACTGGTCTCTAACCTCAACCCCATCCCACGGAGTGTGTTTTTTTACCACAGTAGCCAATACTGATGAGAGACATCCTCTCATGATCTCTTTTGCAGTTGATGTTGGCCTCTCTGTCCACGATGATGTCACATGGCTTTAAGAGCAGTAAGCAGGACTTCACCTTTGGACCATGGAAGGTGACTGCAGCCAGAAACCACATCATGAAGTCCAAAGACATTGAAGGGTGAGATACTGTAGGAACCAGATATGCATTTGTCTTTTACTGGTAAAATAAATTGTGACATCAGAGTTCAAGTAATGCAGCCCAAGTATGTTCAACACAGCAGATTTTTTTAATTCTAGCCTATTTGCGTATAAAATGACAAACATATCTAAGGTTGTACAACCAATAACTCCACTCCAAAGGATTGAGCTTCAAATATGTATCTTATTGTAAGCATAATTATATAAAGTATGTTGAATTTCTGAATAAATGTAACCAGCTGTTTTCTGTTTGCCTCTCCAGGTTAGCGGGGGAGATGAACATGCCCTCCCTTCCAGAGATGCTGTTTGGGGACAACATCCTGCGCATTCAACACAACGACGGCTACGGCATCGAATTCAACGCGATCGATGCCCTCCGGAGAGTCAACAACATGGAGGACGCTGTGAAGGTGGCCTGTGCTCAGGAGTGGCAGGAGAGCAGGTAAATTAGACTGACAGCTGGAGAACGGTTTTGTTCAAATTGTATTTGACAAAACGTTATTCTTTTTCAATGCAGATTCCTTTTTTTACTAAAAACATGTTTTTTAGAACTCTAAGGTTCGCTCCTGCAGAGAATTAATTACAGTCTGTAAATGGACAATTTATTAGCGCAATCGAGACAGTAATCTGTGGCCTTTTCACCAGTAGAACTCTTCTCAAAAACCACTTGGGAGTTTTCAAAACTGCCCACAGCTCGCCCTTAGCCAGCTGTGGGTAAATGTCTATCAAACACTTCATCTGATCTTATTCCTCCTTTCACCCGCTGTCTGAAACCAGAGCAGAGCTTTCTGATCTGTTATGATTGGTCAACCGCTTAGAGAATTTTCGGAAAATTCCCGCCCCCCTTAAGTACAATGTGTTGGAGCTTTAAGAATTATAAGCGTGAGTGTTACATAGTGATGTCATTATGTTACTGAAGTAAACAAAGGAGTCAAAAGGAGTTGTTTCAGGCAGGGGGGAGAGAAACTCCCTCTGGAGGGGATACAGGGATTTTAGCCTTTAACCATTTAGATGCACAAGCTCCTCCTGTGGTTCACGTTTTGTGTCTGTCCTCATTTTTGCAATCGTTGACACATGTCTGTTCATGCCTTGATATTGACGTGACTCCAGTCACTAAGATGATCACTAAAATAAATGTTACACACCAAACAAGTTTGATACCAGCATGTGATCGCAGGCAGTTTTGTTTCATTATTGAAAGAGATTAGCTGTCATATTGGAGCAGGGATTTAAAATCTAGAATTCTAAAGGAAACCATAAAATATGTAATAGAATAGCTAATGTGTGCAGGTTTGGAATTGAAATACAAAGTAAAAGACATGTACAGCCATTCATTCCCAGAGACAGAAATAATCGGAGCTGTGTAGTTAACGTTAACCTCTGTGGTTTCCTTTCAGGGCGGATTCTGAACACTCCAAAGAGGTGGTGAGACCCTACGACTGGACCTACACCACAGACTACAGAGGCACTCTCATAGGAGAGAATATGCAGATGAAGGTGGGTCATTTTCAGCCTTGGAATGGAACACAGTTTCATCAACGCCTCAGTGATTTGGACCCCTGCCTTGAGTGGTGTCCCGCTCCTCCCCCCACTGTTTTTCATGTCTCTGTTTCCTGTGCAGGTAGTGAAGACGGAGGAGCGGATCGACATGGAGAAGCTGAAGGCTCGGGAACAGATCATGTTTTTTGACGAGGTGCTGCTGTTCGAGGACGAGCTGCACGACCACGGCGTCTCCATGATCAGCGGGAAAATTGTGAGTAATAGAACACCAATAAATGAAAAAAAGAAAGAAAAGCAATGTCATACAAGTACAAATACACACAATACAATTTACTACAAACTTGTTTTGTTATCGTTTTTATGATAGGAATACATATTTGTTAAAGGTGGGGTAAGTAATTTATTTCAGAAACACTTTTTGTTATATTCCACGGAATGCTCTTAACATCCCGATAGCAATGAATACATTAAATGCTTTGACAATAAATACTTTAAAAAATGTCATCTGTGGAAGCCGTGGTACTGTAAAAAGCACGACCAATCCTCTGAGCCTGCCCGGCTAAAATAACTGGATGGCCTACCTGCCTGTCAGCCTTCCATCTGTGCATAAACTTATCTCGTGCCCTCATTGGTCATGTGCGCGTTCGTGTGTGTTGGAGGAGGGGCTCTGTAAGGAAGTCTGAAGGAAGAGGCAGATTTTTTCCGGTTGTGTATTTTCAAATTCTAGCGCACTCGAGCTGGTTTCTCCAAAATTACATA